AGACCTGCCCGGGGGGGGGGAGGGGGGCTGGCTGAGGACGGAGAAAGAGCCCCTCTCCTCTGGTGGGACCGGGGGCCTGGGGGCGGGGAGGCTGCCAGCTTCCCCGGTTTTGGGAGCGCTCCTGGTCCGGGGCGGTGGGAGAGAGCCAGCAGAGAGGGTCCTCCGGGAGCAGGCAGCCTTCGCGACGCCCGCCAGCGCCCCTCCCCTTCCCGGTGCTCCTGCACGCCCGCCTCTTGGCCCCTCCTGCAGCGGGAGCTCCAGCCACCGCCCCCCCGCCCCCCGCACTTGCTTCTGCCGTCGGCAGCCGGTGTGGCGCGGTAGGGGGCGGAGGGACTGGAGGACTCCTGCCGTGGAAGCTGGCCGGGTGACCTTAGGCTCAGGCTGGCCTACCTACCTCGCAGGGCTGTTGTTGCGCGGGAGAGAACTCCCTGCCACTGGAGTGTGCCCCGCCCACCAGCCGTTTCCGTCTTCTGCTCGCCTGCTGCCCTTGTAGGCTGGACAGATCAGTGGAGAGATCAAGCACCTTCTTTGTGTGCCTGGGAGAGAAGAAGAAGAAGAGGAGAGGAGATTGGGTCATACCCCATGGCCCTTCACTACCCAAGGGAGTCTCAGAGCGGCTGACAGTCTCCTTTCCCCTCCCCTCCCCACAACAGACAGACACCCTGGAAGGTAGGTGGGGCCGGGAGAGCTCTTCACAGAAACGGCTCTTTTTCAAGGACAGCTCTTATCAGAACTACGGCTTGCCCAAGGTCATCCAGCCAGGTGCAAGTGGAGGAGCGGGGAATCAAATCCGGCTCTTCCAGATTAGGGTCCACGCACTTAACCCACAACATCATACTGGCTCTCTATTGTTGGAGTGCTGTGCTGGGAAAAAAAGTAAAACCAAAACCCAGGCAGCCCCTGACCACAGGCATAGACAGCTTTAAAGGGGGAACTAGTCACATTCGCAGGGGAGAAGTCTGTCTGTGGCTCCTGGCCACGGTGACTAAAGGGAACCTCCCCGTTAAGAGGCACTTAGCCTCTGCATCCCAGAGCTGCTGCGAGGCAACCTCTGTGGAAGGCCTCGCCCTCCATACCTGCTTCTTAGCCCTGCAGGGGACCTGGCTGGCGACTGACGGACCCCCACCGCTCTGATCTGGCCGGGCTCTTCTGATGGCCTTATGTGGCTGCTTGTTCTTGGCTTCCCCCCTGACAGGCCCCTGGGCCCGGGGATGGCAGGTGGCCTCTTGCTGCCGTACAGGAAAGGCAGGGGACCTTTCAGGATGCCCTTCCTTGCAAGGCTGGTGGCTGAAACGGCCAGTGGTTGAGGGCAGGAGCACCAGTGTGCTTTGGAGAGTTCTCTTCTCTGCTGAAGAACACGCAGCCCAGGAGCCTGTCAGAGCCTTGCGGGAGAGCAAAGTGTCCTGAACCATGACGTGCTCTGTCCGGTGCCAGCATGACAGAACGCCTTGTTGCTGTCTGGGGTGAGGAATGAGAAATTGTCCTTTTCTAGAAACGGCTAAAAGGGGGGTTGGGAGCTTCTGACCTGCCCTTCCTCCACAACATGCCTTGTTCCTTCCGCGTACTCCCAGTGGTTCGCCTCCTCAGGAGCAGTTTCCAACTGAGAAGGGCGCAGAAGGGAGAAGTCCAGACACCTTTTTCCCAGGCCACGGCAACAGAATTCCGGAGGCATGGACGAATGCAATGGGAGGGATTCAGACCAATCTGTTTTTGGCTGTTGATGTTGGCATGATTTCTCTTTAATCCGTTCAGCTATCAAAAAAACACAATCTCTACTCAGCTAGATTGGGGGGGGAGGTGCGTGGACTCTAATCTGGGAGAACCGGGTTTGATACCCCACTCCTCCGCTTGCAGCTGCTGGATGACCTCAGGCAAGCCACAGTTCTGGCACAGCTGTCCTTGAAAAAGAGCAGTTTCTGTCAGAGCTCTCTCAGCCCCGCCTACCTCACAGGGTGTCTGTTGTGGGGAGGGGGAGGGAAAGGAGTTTGTAAGCCGCTCTGAGACACCTTTGGGTAGTGAAGGGCCATGGGGTAGAAATCCAATCTCTTCTTCTTCTGCTGCTGCTGCTGCTGCTGTATTCTTGCAGCCAGGCACAGTCAGGAAAGTAAAACCTGAAGCCAGCCAGCCCCCCCTTCTTCGTTGACAGAGCAGAGATTGAAGGAGGAGGGCAGGGTGGGAGGGGGTGTGTCCTTGGGAAGGGACCTTGGGTGCCTTTTGCCTGGCCTTCCAACAGGCAGATGGGAACGGGTGCTGGCCTGTGTGAAGAGCCACACCTGTCCGTGTTCTCCCATGTTTTGTGGCTACTTAAGATGCTGCTGTGGCTCAAGTGATTAAGACGCTGAACTGCAGGCTGTGGAAGGTCGGTAGTTCAGCAGTTTGAGACCCGGGTGCCGCAAGACGGAGTGGGCTCCCGTCTCTAGTTCCAGCTCCTGCCAACCGAGCAGTTCGAAAGCAAGAAATTGCAAGTAGATCAATAGGTACCACTTTGGTGGGAAGGGAACAGCGTTCCGTCCGCCTTGGTGTTTAGTCATGCCGGCCACATGACCACGGAAACGTCTTCGGACAGCGCTGGCTCTTCGGCTTGGAAACAGAGATGAGCACCGCAACCCTGGAGTCGGATTCGACTGGCTTTCGAGCAAGGGAAACCTTTACCTTTTAAGATGCAGAAGCAAGCAGGGTCCGTCCGCCCAGTGGCTGAGAGCCATCTTCCCAGGATGCTCCCGTGTCCGAGGAGGCTTCCTGTCTCTGGCAACGGCATGGCAGACACAGTCCAGTAGGTGAAGTTCGGCCCTCTCTGTGCTGCACCTGCTGAATTTCTGCCAGTTGCACAGCTGTCAAAGGCCTTGAGGAGGGGGAGAAAGTTGCAGCTGGTGTTTGCCGGCCATCATGATGGGAGTGGAGGCTGCCAGCTACTGTAATCTGAGCCCCGTGCCTTTGTTTGCAACACATGGCTGGCGGTTGGGGTGGGGTGGGGTGGGGGGCACACATGCTTTCCCAGCCCTGCCCAAGTAGAAGAAGAGATTGGATTTATACCCTGCCCTTCACTACCCAAGGGAGTCTCAGAGCGGCTTTCAGACTCCTTTCCCTTCCCCTCCCCACAACAGACACCCTGGGAGGTAGGTGGGGCTGAGAGAGCTCTGACAGAAACTGCTCATTTTCAAGGACAGCTCTGAGAGAACTTGTGACCGACCCAAGGTCACCCAGCTGGCTGCATGTGGAGAAGTGGGGAATCAAACCCGGTTCTCCCAGATTAGAATTCGCGCACTTAACCACTACGCCAAACTGGCTCTTTATGGTGTAGTCCTGGAGGGCTTACTGCAGGGAGGGTCTGGGGCTTGGATCTGGAAGAGTAAGAGGGGCAAGGGAGGAGGAAGGCCCCCCCCCGCCTCGGATATGAGAGTGAGGTGGTTGGTCGAGGGCAGGAGTGCAAGAGGTGGGTCTTTGGGTCAGGGAACGCAGTACCCAGGTGTGCTTCTCTGTGCCTGACTCGAGGCACAGGGTCTCCAGGGAGGTGACAACTCTGTGGCTGGCTCTTGGCCTTCCTGCCTCACCCCCCCCCCAGCCCAGGTTGTGTCTCCCGGATGCTCATTTCTCCTCTAGTGCGACTGATGCCACTCAGGCTGCGGCAGTCTTCATGCTGGCTGCCCCACCTGAAACGTGGGTGTAATGATTTCAAGTTTTGGTGTGTGTGTTTCTTTACATGTTTAGTTTGACTGCAGTACTGTAAGAAGAGTGATAGAGGTAGACAAGTGTGAGGTGATTGGCTGATGACTGAGAGTGTGGGAGGAGGGGTGTCTATGAGAGTTTTTCTGTGTGTGGAGTTGGAAGAGGGAGCATAGTCTGTGTGACTATGGGAGTTTTTGAGTCTATTCTGTGTGAATAAGACAAACAGTTTAGTCTGTGTGACTATGAGAGACTGAGTCTATTCTGTGTGAATAAGACAAATAGTTCAGCCTGTGTGGCTATATAGATGAGAGAGAGAGAGATTAGACTGAGTGTCTACGCCTGTCAGAGAGGAGTTTGGGGAGTTTGAGAGACTGTTTGTGACACCAAGCTTTGCCAGTTATATTTACAAGTTCTTTTCATCAGCAACAGTTCAAAATAACCAGAAACCTATTTTGTTCTTTATTAAATAAATCATTTTTTGTTTAAACGTATCCCAGAAATCAGAACAGTCCTTCCTCAGGGCCACATAGTCCTCTGAAGTGCCCAGACCCTGGGTCATTCTACCAAAAGAGAGATTTGGAATTTTTAATTCCTGGTGGCAGCAGAAATCTACCAAGTTTATGTCCACAGAGGGTGGTTTAAAGGTAAAACCGTCTCCCCAATAAGTGAGGACGCCACAGTGGGCCTTGCTGTCTCTGCTCCACTGTCCTGCTTCACGCCCCTTCAGGTCTGCCCCCCCCCCCAGCACTCTGCTCCTCCCTCAGTCCGTTCTGCTGGGTCAGAGCCTCGGTCCGTCTCACTCAGCCTTGCCTGGGAGCAGGCCAGGAAGGACCTTTCTCAGCCCACCTTGCCTGAGAGCAGCCAGGATTGGACTGGGGACCTTCTGCTTGCCAGGCAGATGCTTAGCTGTGGCCTGGCCCCTCCCTCCTGGCATTAAAGTTGTGAGTGAGCAATTTGGCTACTGCAGAAATTAGTTTGCTGTGGAGCCCTCCTTCCTGAGCTGACACAAAAATGTGTGAGCCGGAGGCTAAAAAACTGTGAGCTAGCTCACACTAACTCAGCTTAGAGGGAACACTGCTCTCCGCTGGTGCACATTCTGGGCTGGCCCCTCCCCTCCTTTCTTGCCTTGAAGAAATGGGGAGGGGGATGGAGGGTTCCCCGCACACTAACCCCTGCGTCTGCATTTGCCAGGTGATCCAGCATCGTAAGGGATGGAGCCGATGGAAGAAGTCGGCCTCTGGACCCTCAGAGAGGTGGGAGCCAAGGAGACCCCCCTGGACGTGGGCTCAGGTGCGTGGGAATCCCTCGGGTGTAGCTGGAGTGGGGCAACAGAGACCGAGCGGCTCTCTGGCTCCTGCCGGCCTTGACTCTTTTGTTTCCTCTGCACTCATTTGGGTGCACGAGACGGGGCTGGGCATCTGGGCTTTGGCGGTCAGTCATGGCACCCTCCCCTGTCGTAGGCCTCCGGGATCTTTCCACTGCCACCAGCCGGCCAAACACCCCCCCCCCCCGGGGGACAGAAGGAGAACTGCTGGAGGCTTCAGCCGTCTGAATCCCGATGTCCCTGGGCCAGGGTGAATCTTTTAAAATGTGTTGTTTTAATAGGAGGTAGGAGGTTGGTTCATTAACTTCTTGCAGGTCACTGTGTGGATATAAATCTGTGTGATTCCTTTTACGAGAGCCAACCAAAATGACCCAAAAGACATCACTTGCAAGCAAGGCTCCCTCTAAGCTGTGGAGTCTTGTGAGCAAAAACTCTGCTTTGTGAGCTGCTGGCATTAAAGTTGTGAGCAGGTGATTTGGCCACGACATAAATTAGTTTGCTCTGGAGCCCTCCTCCCTGAGCGAAGACAAAAATGTGTGAGCCAGAGGCTAAAAAACTGTGACCTAGCTCACACTATCTCAGCTCAGAGGGAACATTGATCAGGAGCACGGCTCCCTCTGAGCTGTGGCGTCTTGTGAGCAAAAATTCTCCTTTGTGAGCTACTGGCGTTAAAGCTGTGAGTGAGCGATTGGGCTGCTGCATGAATTAGTTTGCTCTGGAGCCCTCCTTCCTGAGCTAAGACAAAAATGTGTGAGCCAGAGGCTAAAAAACTGTGGGCTAGCTCACACTCACTCAGCTTAGAGGGAACACTGCTTGCAAACCTGTGAAGTTCCTCAGGTGGGGTGTTAAAAAAAAGGTGGGAGTGTCAGGGTTGCCAACTCTGGCCCAGGAAATTGGGCTCTGGAGGGGGGATTTGGGGAGGGATTTTACCTGGAATCTATGGTCTGTCAGAGAGTCTGCCTTCTGAAGTACCCCCTAAGGGACCAATGAGATTTTTGGGGTGTGCGCAGCTGCGTTATCTGACGAAAGGAACCTTGGCCTCCCTGGAAACTTTGAGCTCAAAAACCTTGTTGCCCTCTAAGGGGCTCCTGGGTTCGAATGTGGCTGTTCTGCTCCTGAGCAGAAACTCTTGAGCAGTGGAAAGTGAATGCCAGTCATCAGCTGAACATTCAGAAAAGCTAGATGGAAAAGTGCCGTCTTTGAGGCTTGATGGATCATGGGTGGGACCCAGGGCCTCCCTTCCACGGTGCATCCCGTCAGTGGAGGAGGACTTCTGCTGGCAAAGAGGAGCTGCCCGCGAAGGACCTCTTTCTCCCCTGGAGGAAACATCTAAGCCAGGGGTGGCCAGACCTGCTCAACGTAAGAGCCACACAGAATAAACGTCAGATGCTTGAGAGCCACAAGACATGAACAAATATTACACGTTTTTATCGGAAAACATGCAAATTGACCTTTTATTAACATTAAATGAGACTGCCAAAAACAATAACAAAAGGAGTAAAAGCAGATATTGATAATGATTTTTATTTGTCCAATGATATTTATTTGTTTGCTCTTATGTGTCTAAGAGAGAGAGAGGTGGAAAGAAAGAGAGAAAGAGAGCGAGAAACAAAGAAAGCAAGTAGATGGGGAACGGATGAAGGAAGAGAGACAGAAAGAAAGAGAACAAATAGATGGAGAGCCTCCCGGGAGCCACACAATGTGTGTGAAAGAACCACATGTGGCTCCTGAGCCACAGTTTGGCTACCCCTGCTCTAAGCAGAAGAGAGTCCATTGGTCAGTCTGAGTGGGCGGGAGTCCCAAGACCCAGCCCTACATCCGGGAGTCATATTGGTCACTTTGATTCTGCTTTTTCACCCCAAATCCGGAGTGGCTTGCCTGGTTTCCCCTCCCTCCATCTTATCCTCTCATCAACACTGTGCGATAGGTTAGATCAGGGGTGTCAAACATGCAGCCTGGGGGCCAGATCAGGCCCCCGGAGGGCTTCTATCAGGCCCACAGTGGAACTGGCTGTCTTCTGCTTCTTCTTCCAGTTCTGCTGCTGCTGCATCATTGTAGGTTTGCCGCTTACAGATACACACCTGAACAGCATACTCAAGATTGCAACAGCACAGACATTCTGATGCAATAATCCAGAGCAAGAGGCGTCAGCTATCAGACACTGTTAATTAAACAAAATATTGCAAGAGTGCTAATGTTTTAAGCATGTTTTTATTTTAAGTAAAAAAAACCCTTTGTGCTTGTGTCCTTTATAAAAAGTTTATATCTCCGCTACCTGGCATTACATTTTATGACACACGTGGCCCGGCCTAACAAGGTCTCATTTATGTCAGATCCGGCCCTTATAACAAATGAGTTCAACTCCCCTGGGTTAGGCTGAGAGAGGAGCAGCCCAAAGTGCGTTTCACGGCAGAACAAATATTTAGTCCTAGTCTAGCACTCTAGGCGCCACACCACACTACTGCCCCTCTGCCCTGCGGCTCCCTGTGGGCTGGGCTTGCCGGTCAGGTGCTCAGCCCAGTCCGCCTTGGGCAGTGGCCGCGGCTTTGCCCGTGGGGTCCTGTGTCAGAGTCTCGTAACGGGTCCTTCTTTTGCTCCCTTTGAGAATGTGTGTGCTTTGACCTTACAGGAGTCCTAGCCATGGCCCAAATCAGGAAGGAGCCTCCTCCGGAAGGAGACGCAGAGCAACCCAACGGAGCCCCCAGAAAGTCGGCTGGATGCAACGGCCTGCGAGTCGAGAGGAGGAGGAGGAGGAGGAGTTTGTCACGACTCCACAAAGCGGCGGAGACGCAGCCATCCCCGGCAGGGCTCTTGCTTGACGGAGAAGACTTTGGCCACGGAGACCGTCTCAGCTGTGACACCAAGAGGCTGGGGCAGAACTCGGCGGGAGGAGGCCTGTATGACAAGGTGGTGGTTTTCCGGGTGGGAGAAGGCAAGGCGGGCCAAAGGCCGTGCGCGGCGGCGGCGGAAGGCAGCTTCGCCTGCAAGGAGTGCGGGAAGTGTTTTGCCTGGCGGTCCTCCTTGAACATCCACAAGCGGACCCACACCGGCGAGAAGCCCTTCAAGTGCAAGACCTGCGGGCGCCGCTTCAGCCAGAAGCCCAACCTGCTGTGCCACCAGCGCAACCACACCGGGGAGCGGCCCTTCAAGTGCGCCCGCTGCGAGAGGAGCTTCCGGCAGAAGCAGCACCTGGCCAAGCACCAGCGGACCCACCTCCGGGCCCGGCCCAGCCCCCACGCCTGCCCCGAGTGCCAGCGCGGCTTCAGCAACAAGGCTGTCCTGCGGCTGCACCGGCGCCTCCACGCCCACCACCGCCAGCTGGTCTTCCAGGAGCTGAAGAAGGCCTACAAGGAGACGGTGGCGCGGCAGCGGGAGGAGGCCCGGGCAGGGCTCGGCTGGGGGGCCAGGCCCAAGGGCCAGCGGCGGCGGGGGGTGAAGAAGTTCATCTGCAGCGAGTGCGGCAAGGGCTTCACCTGGTGGTCTTCCCTCAGCATCCACCAGCGCATCCACACCGGAGAGAAGCCCTTCCCGTGCACCGAGTGCGGGAAGAGCTTCACCCAGAAGCCCAACCTCTTGCGGCACCTCCGCTACCACAGCGGCGAGAGGCCGCACGCCTGCCCCAAGTGCGGCAAAGGCTTCACCCAGAAGCAGCACCTGGTGAAGCACCAGCGCACCCACTTGGCCGAGAGGGGGTTCCAGTGCCACGCCTGCGGGCAGAGCTTCCCCACCAAGGGGGCCCTCACGGTTCACCAGCGGGCCGGCCACGTGGGGATTGACCTCCCGGCCATGGGGCCGACGGACGAGAAGGGGGGTCTTCCGCTCAGCCCGCCGGGGAGCCTGGGGGAGTGGAGGGGCTCCCTGCTGGCGAGCGGCCGGAGGCTCTCCCTGCCCCCCGATCTCCTGAGCCCCCCCAGCGACGCGGAAGGGCAGCCGGTCCTGATCGTGGAGCCGGGCACCCGGCCGCAGGCTCTGTCCCAGACCAAGAAGGGCGTCTTCTGGAAGCCGGAGGTCCCCAAGCCGCCCGCCCCTGAGCTGAAGCAGTACATCTGCAACGAGTGCGGGAAGGGCTTCGTCTCGTGGTCGGCCCTCACCATCCACCAGCGCATCCACACCGGTGAGAGGCCCTACCCCTGCGGGGAGTGCGGGAAGCGCTTCAGCCAGAAGCCCAACCTGGTGAGGCACCAGCGGTACCACACCGGGGAGAAGCCCTACCCGTGCGCGGAGTGCGGCAAGTGCTTTGTCCAGAAGCACCACCTCAGCAAGCACCAGCGGGTGCACCGGAAAGAGGCCCGCCCGGGGCCCCCGCACTGATGGAGACAACGGAGGGACTGTAGGGAAGGGAGGCCCTGCTTGCCAGTCTTTGCCTTTGTTGAGCCTGTTAGGGGGGCGAGGAGGAGTGTGGGGGGGTCTGCCTTCCCCCCCCCCTCGTAAGATGTATGTGGACTAGTCCTGTCGGGCCCCTGCAGTGAAGGTGTGCGTGTGCCGGGTGAGACCTGCTGCCTGGAGAAGATTGGGCTGTCGCCCCAGGAATGGCAACAGTGGGTTGACTGACTTGTGGCTCTCTGCGGCAGGTCTCCATCCCAAGATGGGCACGAAGGACCTCCTTTCTCTTGGCCCCTCAGCCGTGGAAGCTTGGGAGGTGCTCCGTGGACTTGTAAGAGGGCCCTAAAAATGGGTTTGGTTTTGTTTTTCCTCCTATGCCTTGGACTGGGAGCTGAAGCAGGCTTACAGCAGAGTTGGGCCTGATTTGAGCATGACTCCAGGGAGGCCAACCCCCCCCCCCCCCCCCGAGGCTCGGCCCTGACATGATGCCCTGCAGAGACGGGGTTGCTGAGACACACACAGCCACTTGGTGCAGGAAGCTACACAAGAGTGGTCCTTTGACCAGTGTTTTCGTCCAGGTTTTGTCGCCGTCCCCTGCCTTGGGTACCGGTTATCTGGGAAAAAGGCAGGTGTGTCAATGTGTCTGATGATTACACTAAATTGAAAGCCCTGTGGGAAAGTGGTTTTGGCTTGTCAGCATCGTGCGTAAATCAGTTCTTACTTCCAAATAGGACGGGAGTCTGTCACGTGTGAAGTGTTGCCTAAGTGCGTTTAAACATGCGGGTGTCTTGTGACCTGAGACTGTAGAGTGAAACCGATTGTCAGCTGAAGAAATGAGATGAATTAAACATCTGTGTAACGCACCTCTGTCTTCTGTGGCTGGCTGGGCGCGATGCCCCAGAGAGGAAGTTTATTTGTTTTATGGTATCCATAGTCCACTTTTCTCACAGGGACTCAAAGCGGATCACACAGAATAATTGTTGTGGAAGGAAGGGTGTCTTTCATTACTGAGGAAGTCCCTTAGAACAGTTGTTCCCCGGAAAGCACCCTGATAACCAGTGGCCACCACAGAGGGACCTCCCAAGAACATCTAGACTGACCCACTGAGAAGCTATTGTTCTACCACCGTAAATGACAGGATAGAAACCCTAGAACTCTCAGGCTGGGGCAAGGGATGTTCTGTATTCTCGGTGCTTGGGGGGGGGACAGTGGGAGGGGCTTCTAGTGTCCTGGCCCCACTGCTGGACCTCCTGACGCCACCTGATATTTCTGGCCACTGTGTGACAGACAGAGTGTTGGACTGGGTGGGCCACTGGCCTGATCCAACACTGGCTTCTCTTCTGTTCTTATGGATAAACATATGGAGCAGAGGTCCATCAGTGGCTATGAGCCACAAGGTACAGATAGGAACTCTCAGTCTGGGGCAAGGGATGCTCTGTATTCTTGGTGCTTGGGGGGGGGTAACAGTGGGAGGGCTTCTAGTGTCCTGGCCCCGCTGCTGGACCTCCTGAGGGCACCTGGTATTTTTGGCCACTGTGTGACACAGAGTGTTGGACTGGGTGGGACCCTTCGCCTGGCTTCTCTGATGTTCTTATGGAGAAACATACGGAGCAGAGGCTATCCACCAGTGACTATGAGCCACAAGGTACAGATAGGAACTCTTGGTCTGGGGCAAGGGATGCTCTGTATTCTTGGTGCTTGGGGGGGGAGCAGTGGGAGGGGCTTCTAGTGTCCTGGCCC